TAAAGACCCTTTCAGACACGGCATTCACAGGGCAAGCCAAATCCTTGTCCCAGATTTCACTGCTCCTGGTCTGGCAAAGGTGGTTGGCTCTTACCACAGAGGACGTCACAGGAGGAGTTCTTAGGTCCTGGGGAAGATTGTCATCAGGAGTTATCACAAGAAAACAAGTGACCATTGTTTGTTACCCAGTCCCCTTCCAACATTACTTCTTTTTTTTATTTCCCCTCTCCTGTTCTTGGGTGACCATCCTCCTCCCTGACTCCTCACCCCTCTTTTCTGTTCTTGGGACAAATCTGGCCCTCTGGGGAAAGGCTGGTTTCTTCCCATAGGATACAAAGCTTAAATAGAAAAACCCATTCCCACCAAAAGTGAACATGAGCTAGCCAAGTGGGAGAACTAAATCACCGTTTTGGAGCCATCACTGCCGTGAGTGGGGAGTCTCCACATCTTCAGCTTGAACAAAAACTAATTAAGTTTTAGGGCAGTGGACATCCCAGTGCTCCTGGGCGCCCAGCTCAGCAAGCAGCCCCTGCAAGGTCTCCTCCTGGGTCCAAGTCTCCAGGAAGGGGAGGAGCTTCTGAAACGTTTAGCCACGATGAACAGCCTATCCATCATGGCTTCACAAACTTCCAACTTAAAAGAAAAGACTTTTAGTTATTGTCCAGCTTGGACAAGCAAATCCCATCCCTGTCTAAACTCTGGAGGTCTTGATGACTATTATTTGGGCCTCCCATGCCAGCCCTGGGCATTTTACGTACATTTTCTCTCATCCCCAGCACAACCTGGTGAAGTAGGTCTTCTGGTTAGCTAATGCCACATAGCAAGCTGCCCTGAACCTAATAACTTAAGACGACAACCATTTATTCTCTTGATTCAGTGGGTCAATTGGGCAATTCTTGAGTTCCGTGTGACTGCATGTTTAGCTGAAAGCTCAGTTGGGGTGCCTCAGTTCTCCTGCGGTAACCTCTCTCTTGTCCTCCAGGGTTTTCCACGTGGCCTCTCTCCCCAGGATAGCCTGGCCTTCCTCAAAGCACGGCAACTTGGTTCCCACAGGGGAGGGTTCTGAAAGACCAAGCCCCCGGCGTACGAGCGCTTATAAAAGCGCTGCATGCTTCGTGCTTGCTAATGTCCCGTGGGCCAAAGCGAGTCACAAAGGCAAGCCCAGAGTCTGTGCAGGAGGGGACTTCACAAGGGTGTGAATATGTGATCCATTAATCCCTCTTTTGCGGATGAGGGCACTGAAGCTCAGGAGGTTACTCTCATTGCTCAGTCATTCCTCACGGCTAGAGACGGAGATCCCAGGTCTGTTGACTCCTAGGCACGTGTTCATTGCGGACAGTACTGGGTCCACCTGATACAGGTGGAGGGTGGGCGGTGGGAGGGGGCAGGTACCAGGAGCCCTGTGTACATGATGGCTGAGCTTCCTGCCCTTTTTAGCCTGGAGGACAGCTCGGCTTCTTCCCCAGCCGACGGGTTCCACCCAGGAGATCGGAGCCAGGGGGCTGCGTTGCGGGTGCAGGCGGCCCTGGCAGGCATTGGAAACATGCTCCAGGCCACAGTCCCAGTTTTCAGCCTGGCGCTGTGGCCCCGTCTAGTCCCCCAGCCCTGTTCCCACCCTCTCCTTAACTCCAGGATAGCTTTTATGGCACTGGCCTGCTTGTCCTTAACGCACTGTGTTTGGCATGCCTTGCCGCTTAAAAACAAAAACTAGTTTATGTTTCCTGTGAGAATGAGGAGCCCTCCCAGCCACTGCAGCCTCTGGGTTTCCCCTAACGCCAGCGCCAGCCACACCAGGCTGGAACCGCCTCGTACTTTTCCATCTGACCTTCTCAGCGGTGATCTCTTGAGGACCCATCTCTGGCTCTCAGCACCCACACCCAACAATGTTTGGACTGAACTGAAGGGTGTTCTCCTGGAGCTTCTCAGAGTCTGAGCACAATGCCTATGTGTATGTGCAGCCCCCAGAGACTCCAGCAGACACCTGCTGGATGCCCTGCCCTAGGCTGGGAAACACGGGGGTCACAGAGTCCTGCAAGCCTCATGTTCCAGCCCAGATTCTTTCCTTGTTAGCTGAGTGACCCTGAGAAACTGCCTTCACATCTCTGAGCTCAGCCTCCCCTGTATACATCCAGTCCAGACGAGAATAGTCTCTGTTCTGTCCAACGTACCCAGGGTCAGAGACAACAGGAATTTGGGGTTGAGGAAGTGTCTCCTTTGGACACTGCCATAGCATTTGTGTGTTAGGGATCCTTCCCTTGAATGGGCTTGATTGTAGGGCTCTGAGAAAGGGTTCTCTATGCCCAAAGATCCTTCTGCCCTCTCCCTCTATCCCTCCATCTCTCATGATGCCTGAAATTCTGCTATCCATAATTCTCTTGCTAAGGTATTTTATTATTTGTATCCAAATGGTCCCCATTAAAAGATGTCAAATGATCTGGAAAGGGTAACATGTTAGTTCAGGAGCAAAGACTGCCTTACCATTAATGAACATCTCTTTCAACCTCGTGCCCTGACGTTGATGTTGGATGGTAAACAGGTGTGAGCTTTCTGGGGCTCAAGCTGGCAGTAGTTATCAAAAGTCTTAAAAATATGCATACTCTTGAATGCTACAATTCTTCTGTAAATGTACTCCAAGAAATTGATGTGTTCAAAACTGGGTTATTCCAGGCAGTCTTACTTATAATAGCACAGAATAATAAATAACTTAAATGTCCAAGAACACCGAATGGACTAAATGATAGTGTGTGGATATGATGTAATACTAGCAGGCTTAGCTCCGTGGTCCTGTGACCAAGTGCAGTCACACAGGTCACAAGGCACAGAAGGGCCCCTCGCTTGGTTTAATGCTCGTCTGTCACCATCTTAAAATTCCTAACATTTTTTTAAAAGAGCCCCTCATTTTCATTTTCTGCAGGGCGCCACAAATTATGTAGCTATTTCCTTAATATTATGTAACAAGTAAAATAATGCTTATGTGGACTATTTATTGAAGTGGACAATTGCTTCCATTAAATGAAGAGACTAGGGCCCAAAACCATAAATGATGCAATCCTAATTTTTTTAAAAACAGAAATATATATATGCATTCATAGAGCAAAATACTGGACATAAACACACCAAAATGTTAGAGTAATTACCTCTGAGGAGGCAAGATTACAGGTATTCTTTTTATTACCATGTTCTTCTTTGAGCATTTCTTGTATTTTCCAGCACGGAGGGCCTGAATATGCTTATTGACTCTAACATATCTGGCAAAGGCAGAAATGTATATAGCGTAACTGGGGACCAGCGATCTTTTCTTAGCCTCAGATGGAGTCTGGAGCCTTTAATATACAGAGTACACTTCAGGATAAACACACAAAGAGAAGTTCAGTTGATGGGGAAGCCAAGTACTCTTACGAGCTCCTTGAAGCCGAGGAATGTCTGATTTCTCAGTCCCCACTTCCCTTCATAAGCCCGGCATGGACGGGGTGCCCAGTGGATGGGCATCTTGTCTTGTGGCTTGAGTCATTAGTGGTCTTTGCCCATGACACACCTCATCAGACATCAACTTCATTATGTTCTCATTTGAAGGTGGGAGCTTCTCTGTGGCTGGACATGTGCCCCGAGTGATCTCTAGACCCCAGAAAGGAACGTCCCCACCCCAAGTCCTCCTGATCTCCGTCTCCCTCTGGAAACAGGTTATTATCCTGTTTCCAGGACCAGAGGTCTGATTTACTCCTGCACACAACTGGCTCCACCTGTCACCCTGTGCCTGTGTTGCCTTGCAGGCTTCACCCTAACAGCAGAGGGCAGCAGTCATCAGTGAGCCCTGGAGGGAGCTGAGGGGTTTGGAGGAGGAGGTAGTCCCCACTGCCCAGTGAGTGGCCCCACTCACTCCATACTCATTTCCCAGACTTCTTCTCTCCTAAATCCTTATCAGGCTGTTGCTGACTATCTATCAGCTGAACAGCTGAACGTGGCCGGGAACACATGAATCCTAGAAACTTGCCTCTGTAAAACCAAGGCCAGCGAGTGAATGGCCTCTGGCCCCTTCCTATGACAGATAGGAACACAGGCACCCAGAGACAGGGTGGACCTGCCTAGAGCCACACAGTGAACAAGGGGCAAATGGAGTCTTAACTGCAGCAGTGAGGAGGCAGGGCTCATAATGTGCAATTGCCACATATGGAAAGGCTGTTGAAGGGGAGGTGGGTAGCTGCTAATACGGGAAATGCCCATTGCACCTGCACAGTAGCCTCTCCCTGCCCACCTGGGGTGCACTCAGCCCTCTGAAGCCCCTCCTCTTTTCCCAGCCCCCTACTCAGCCCCAGCTCTGAGAGCCCCACCCTGATGACCTTTTCTCTCCTAAGTACCCCTTTAAGTGAAATTTAGGGAAGTTTTTGTAAATGTTAAAACTGATTTCCAGGGGACATCTGGGTGGTTCAGTAGGGCAAGCACCCTACTCTTGATTTCAGCTCAGGTCAGCTCACTGTTGTGAGGTCAAGCCTCACGTCGGGCCCTGCACTGACAGTATAGAGTCTGCTTGGGATTCTCTCTCTCCTTCTCTCTCTACCCCTAACCTGCTCGCACACACACACTCTTCTCTCTCAAAAATAAAGAAATACTTAAACAAATAATAAAATAGGGATGCCTGGATGTCTCAGGCGCTTAAGCTTTCGACTTTGGCTTGGGTCATGATCTCAGAGTTCATGAGTTCAAGCCCCGCATGGGGTCTGTGCTGACAGCTCAGAGCCTGGAGCCTGCTTCGGATTCTGTGTCTCCCTCTCTCTCTACCCCTCCCCTGCTCACATTCTGCCCCTCTCTCTCTCTCTAAAAAATAAATCAATGTTAAAAAATAATAAAATAAAATAAAATTGATTTACCTGTTATAATAAGACACGTGGTAGACGGAGTTAGGCCGCAAGTGTTCTGTAATGAAATTGACTTGAGCACACCCTGCGTAAACAAGGTTGGGGCTGCTTGCTCAGGACTGACAACCCTGTTCCTTTGCTTGGCAGACCACGGTGAGCTGGGATGGGGACAAGCTCGAGTGTGTGCAGAAGGGGGAAAAGGAGGGACGCGGCTGGACCCAATGGATTGAGGGTGACGAGCTGCACCTGGTAGGTTGTTGGTGTGTGGGGTGGGGGCGGGGGGGGGCACAGAACAGGGTCCAGAGACTATAATCACTGTTGAGGTCCAGTGGACCTTGGAAAAATACTCCGTGGCTGGGCCTTGGTTCTGCTCTGAAGCTTCTCTTCCAAGGGCCTGAAGAAGACCTTTGAGTGACTTTAAACACTGAGCCCCGAGTTTTCAAGGTCTAGGCTGACTCAGCCGTCCAGTCAGAGACATGAGGAACAGAGGTGCGTTTGCTAAGCATCAGACGTGGAGCTAAGCTCTTTTGCATTCCATAATCTCTCTCTGTCCTTTCAGCAGCCCTATGGGCCAGCTGCTATTAGGGGTCCTATTCTGGAGATGAGAACATGGGGGCGCACATCCAAATTACACAGCTAGGAGACGGAAGAACTGAAATTTGCTCCCAAATGATGTCTGTGTTCACCAGGCCAAGCTGTGGCAGGCTCGAATCAAGGAGAATTCTTTAAGCTTCTCAACACTCTAGGTCAGGGGACGAGAAGCCTTTGTCAGTTCAGAAGCCTAGGTGTGGGCCTCTGGCTTGGGAACTCCGGTCAAAGCCATTTCTACTCCATCCATTGTCTGGGAAAAGTACGCACAAATCCAGAAGAAGGGGCTTAACATCTGGAGAGCTAAAATAACACATGTCCTCCAAAAGGAGACCTCCCATCACTCCTTTTCCCTTGGAACTCCCCGACTACCTTCCTTCTGAGAAAAGAACCTGGTCCAGGTGACTTGGGTTCTTCAACTCTTGACTCAATGGGTACCTTTGAGTAAGTACTTCCTCCCTCAAGCCTCCCCTGCAAAATGCCATCCTACCACAGGAGTTCTGCAAAGATGCGAGTCCGTGTGAATGCTGGGAAGAGGCACGAGGGCATTATTTTCAGAGGCATTAGGCTAACGCAGTCCCTGACCTTGGGCCTGTCTTCTCCCCGGGCCTCTATTTCAACTGCAGAACAATGAGGGTAGATGGGTATGTGGTCTCCACTGTCTCGTTCAGCTCAGTAGTTCTGTGGCTCTAGGCCAGAGGTTGCAAATGGCGGGGTGGGGGCGGGGAGGGCTCGGACCTCTTTTCTTTGGCCATCAGGGAGCTTCACACTTCTTCAGGGAACAACTTAAAAATTAGGAGATGTCACGTAAATATTCAGATTTTCAGCCTCCTTCAAAACACAAGACAGAACAAAACAAAACTTGGAATGTGTGGTGACACTCTGTGTGTCATTTCCCCCAGCCACTCAGCAGGGGCTGTCCTGTAAGCAAGGCATGAGCTTTCTGGTCTGCATTTGAGTACTACCTGGGAGCTTTTACTAATAGCAGTTCCAGGGCTTCACCCACTGAGACACTGATATAACTCGTCTAACCTGGGACCCAGGCATTTTTTCAGACTCCCCGGGTACTCTAATGTGTAGCTGAAGCTTAGAATTTCCACGCCATTTGCAGCTTTGGCCTTGGCGACCTACTGAATCCTCTGGGGGTTAAGCCATGTGTCTGGGCCCGATTTCTTCCAAGCTTGGGCACAGACTCTGTCTTGGGCTCAGGACTGAGGTTCTGAAAGCCTTTTGGCTCCTTGAGTGTAGTAGGGGGAGGGGAGGTATCAGAGGGTCCTGCTGGCCCGTTTTGAACCACATTTTTTTCCCAGCCAGCCCTGCCTAGGGCATAGCAGGGCCCAACATCCACTGATCCAGTTTAACGGACTTTCTAAGGAATTGGTTAGTTCGAACCAACTCTTGAGGAGAAATAGCAGGCGCTATTTTCGAAGTTCCTGCCCCTGTATGCACTGAGCCCCAAGTGTGACTTTGCTCTGGCCAATGACAAGCATCTGCTTTTGTTTCAGGAGATGAGAGTGCAGGGTGTGGTCTGCAAGCAAGTATTCAAGAAAGTGCACTGAAGCCTGAGCAGACCTTGATCTCGAAGAATGAGTGGCATGGACGTGTGGGCCAGGATCCCCTTCTTTGCACAGCATGGGGCAGAAATGTCCAGCCACTCCTAGGCATCTGTTAGCAGAGTCTCTCTCTTGGCTTTGTCTCTTTTCTTTTCCTTAAAACGAAGCCATCCCAATAAAAGTGATTTCTGCTCAATACATCTGTTTTGAAGAAGCTTCAGAACCCCACTGTGCTCACTTTTTCTCTGGGGCTTCTGAAGCCAGCTTCTCCTGATGCCATCCCTGGGCTGAAGGAGAAATATCACCCACACACCTGCAGATTTAGTCCTCACATTGCACCTGTAAGGTCTTTCCCCAGGAGCACAGGCTTGGGTTCAGGATGTGTGAGCTGACATTCAGTTATCCACATGTTAAATACCTTGCATGGTACATGTCTAGTCAGGACCAAAATGTAGTGAATGCCACAGAAGCAGGAAGAAATGCCCTCCACCTGGGAACTTAAAGCCTAGGTAAGGAGATCCAGCCACCACCGATCTCCAATTCCATACTATACACATAGGAGATGCTCTAAAAATGATTCGTAAATGAGATGGAACTGGATAGAATTGTAAGCCAAAACCAGAATGAGGTGAACCTTAACCAAAGGCAATTACCAGTCGGACTTGATTTCGGAGGTGTCATGAGCACACAGGTTACCACCCCAAACTGTTCCACCTCACTTATGAGCTGATGTAAAGCCTTCCTTCTCACTGTTATCAATGAGGCATAACTGGCAAATCGCTCTAGAAGAGGGAGACTAGCTCATGTTCACGCTAAAGTGTAAATGACTGCTAGTGTGCCTTGGCATAGAGACACTCAGGGAAACTGAAAGGGAGGAAACGAGAGACCAGGATAGAGGAAAAGCACTGCACAATGGAAGACTTCCATCCAGGAACCCCTTCAACATCAATCCTGCTTAGGCTATGCCCTGGCCCTTGGAAGAGTGGGTTAGGAGCCGGGCGAGCGGAGTTCCGATTCCCACTCCACCACTCACAAGACAACACCACAAGTCTCTGGATCTCACTTCTCAAGTCAGAAAACCACACTAACAAGCTACCTCCCCTTCCACCCAGGTGTGCTGTGAAGCCTGTAATGCATATTACACTTGTAGACTGCCGAGCACTAGACCAGTGCTCTCAGACCTGGCTAAGCATTAGAACCACCTGCAGAGCTTACCGAATTCCCTCTACCTGGGCCGCTCCTCAGCACCAATTACATCAGAGTATCTCCAGGTGGGACCCAGGCGTCAGTTGTTTGTAAAGCTCCCCGTGTGAATCTAATATGCCAGTGGAGCTGGGAATCACTGCCCTAGACCATTATTTCTAACCTGAGGGTAATCTCGCCCTTGCCCGGAGCATTTGGCAATGTCTGGAGACACGTTTGATTTAACAACTTTGGTCAAGGGTGCTGCACAACACCCTACAATGCACAGGACAGCCGCCCCCCCCTCCCCCATGGAAGAGTTATCCAGCATAATATGTCGACAGTGACAAAGTTGAGAAACCCTGCCTTAGACAAATGTAAGAAATGTTTAATGTTTTTTTCATTATCTAGGTCATTTCCCTGGCCTAGACAAGGCAATGAAACCCAGTATTGCCTAAGATTTTAGAGACCTTTTCACCTTTGCCCTGGTCTCTGGTCCTGAGAATAGAGAAGTCAAAGGCCAAGAAGGTCATAACGGCTATTCACTCACTCGTTACACAAATGTTTAATGAAGCACTGAACTAGCATCATACCTGTTGGACATTCTGGAGTTCCCATCCTATCCCATCCCAAATATGGGAATCCCCTACAGATGCCCACCCCCAATAGGTAAATATCTCACCCAACAGTTAGGTTCTGATGGGGACTCAAAGTGTGAGTGCATGTGATGGAGAGGTCATGGCCCCACTGTTGGGAGTTTCTGGTCTCATGGGGAGACTCAGCCCCACCCGGACTGAAGAGCTTGACCAACAGGACCTCAGTGGGAGCCACATGATGTTTTTGAGCCTTAGAGTGGCAAGATCAGCCTTTGAGCAGAACTAATCCGGGAGCCGTTCTCTCAGCGGTAAGAAGAGTGAAGAATGAAAAATACGAGTTGGAGCTGAGCGCAGGGCCATCACCTTTAATTCAAAATTCACATCATAGAAGACTAATCTTCCCAAAGAAGTATATGTAAAGTGGGAGGGTTCCTTACTGTGCATAGATCTGTAACCCGAGAAGCAATCTTTGGGCTTCAGCGCAGCCTTTCCTCTCCTCGGCACCAACTCCACTATTTTGCAGAGGGCTCGCTTCTAAGTGGGCAGCGGCGAGCATCACGGAGCTTATTCAGCTTTCTTTGTGGCATTTTAGCACCTCTCACCTCCAGTGCGAAGCTATTGACGTCCGTTCCATTTTTGGAACGCTATTGCAAGCTTTGCCACTGAACTGACACTCAGATGCCATTGTTAGAGGATATGAAAACGACTCTCAGCTCTAACAACGGTGCCTGTTCACAGAACGGGGCGCTAGCAACGGATTCGTTTGCTCAATTTCCAAGGCACGTCAGCAACACTGAGAGCCCCACGGGACTGACAAAGGATGGAGGTTATCTATTTACCAGCTCACCTGGTGCCACTGAGCTATGGAAATAGCCTCACTACATCTTGCAATTCCATGGGCCAGCCAACTTGAAAAGGTTATTTTTTTTCCACATTTTTCAAGCTGGAGGGTTACAATATTTCAAAACACGCTCTACACTAACATACCTTATTAACGCGTTTGTATTACATAACTTCACATTTTCAAAACGTAGGCTTGCCACATGCAGGAACTCAAGCAGGAAACGCTGAGGCCGAGCCTAGGCCCTCCCGGAGGAGGGACGGTGGGGGTGACTGACTGAGCTCCCAAGCTCCAGAACCACGCGGCCTCGGTTCAGTTCCCATCGGTGCTACTCCCCAGCTCTGTGAGGTTAAGGCAAATTGTACAGCCTCTCTGTGCCCCAGTTTACTCCTCTGCAAATCAGAGCTGACCTTTTGCCATGGACTTTTTGTGAGGCTTGAATGAATCTAATCCATCTAATGAGCTTACTTAGAAGAGATACAGTAGTCCCCCCTTATCCGTAGTTTCACTTGCTGAGGTTTCAGTTACCCCCTCCCCGGAAGCAAAAGATTCTTCCTCCTGACGAATCTGCAGAAGGTCAATAGTAGCCTATCGCGACTTCAGGGTGCCTGTGCCAGTGTCCTCGCGCCAGGTCTCAGGTAGGCTTTTTATCATCTCACATCATGACGAAAGGTGAGTACAGTCTAATACAATATTTGGAGAGATCACATTCACATAACTTTTATTACAGTATGTTGCTATAAATTGTTCTATTTTATTATTTATTGTTAATGTCCTGTGCCCAATTTATAAATTAAACTTTGTCCTAGGTATTGTACGTCTAGGAAAACGCATTATATATATATATATAGGGTTCAGTACTATCTGTGGTTTCAGGCATCCACTTGGGGTCTTGGAACATATCCTCCACGGGTAAGGAGGATTACTGTATGTATTATTTTTACAAAGAGATTTGAACAGTGCCTGGCATATAACAAGCCAATTTATATGTGGGTTAAACAAACAAAAACAAAAACAGAGATCTGATTGGCATCCGAGGAGTGGAATCAACATGACTTCATTGCTGACACAGTGTGGGTGACGGAAAAACAGAAGGAGTTGAAGTTCAGGGGACACAGGGAACCATTTAACAGAAATCCGGAAGCGTGGCTCAGCTAGGGCAGGAAGCCCCAGACCTCTCAGTGGCAGAAGGAGGAGGTAGAGCAGAGCCTCTCTGATGTTTTGGGGGTGCAAACCCAAGTGCAGGTTCTCTTTCTCTGTCTCTCTGTCGCTCTCTCTCTCACACACATGATACCGATTGAGAACCCAGAGTCTGCGATGCACAGACACAGTGACCTGTCATCCTAGGGCTGGCAGGTGGACGGACTTCAGACCCTAAACCCCCAAAGCCCCTGAAATGTCATTCTTTGGGCAGCCTCCAAAACCCTCCTGCAAGAACATCCTGACAAGGTGGACCCCAAGGACCTCTCTGGAAGCCCTGATTTGTAACTTCTGTCTCAATTAATTAGGACAGCATTATTGTTCTTTTCAGGTGCAAATGAAACAGCTCAACACTGCCCTGCAATTAAACTCTGCTTAATTCCCCCACATGTCCCTTACCCACGCCCACGCTGACCGGAATAGTCCCCCCAGCCTGCCTCCATCTGCAGAGCTGAGTCTTTCCTAATCTCAGTTCTCAGGGACTTCACCAGTGCGGCCCCAACCCCACACCCCACCCTGAGCTGGGGACCTGCAGGACTGAGTCAGGGTAGGTGGTAGGGACATGCTAATCACCCAAGTCACAGAAGTGGCTTTCCTCTCAGGGATAGTGGGGACAAGGAAAGGGATAAGTGTCCCTCTGGGAAAAGGGACTTGATTCACTCCAGGAGGGACACACTCATGATGATATGCCCCATTCTTTTACAATAATCAAAACCCTACCAATCGTTCAGAGGTAAAGTTTGGGGCCCTCCTCTCCCCCCTCCACAACCCACAAAATCCCCCCTTCTTTGAGTACTGATCTTCTTTAAGATGATCCTGGCCACTTCTTAAGATGCCTCTAACAAAGAAATAGCAGATCTGAATTAACAGAAGTTGTGGTTTGTTTTAAATGGCTGCAGGTAACAAATAGGTTAGTACACAAAAATACAGTATACTTATGTAGTGCTAGTTCCAGGATAATTTTAGCATTTACAAAATTTCTGAATTCAGAGTGTACCTGGGATAGTCTGGTCCAAGCATGGTGTACAGGTTTAAAGGTAGATGGATATTGAGGAGGGCACCTGTTGGGATGAGCACTGGGTGTTGTATGGAAAGCAATTTGACAATAAATTTCATATTTAAAAAAAATAAAAAATAAAGGTAGAGAAGGAACTCTATTCTGTCCCATTACTGTCTCTCTGTAACCACTTGGCAATAATGTCAAAAGTTGAAAAGCCCTTCATGAATACGAGGTCTAAGCCCAATGGGTCCCTTCCCCCAAAACCACATACCCCAGTGGAGGTCCTGTTTGAACTCCTACCACTTAGCTCTCAGTCTTACCATGGTCTTAGATGCCCTCGCGCACATTCATCATATCTGTGGTTTGCCATCTTATGAAC